CTTGCCTTCATTGTCCCACATGTGATGTGTGCACTTGCCTTCATTGTTCCATATGGGATGTGTGGGACACTAGCACAGCTGCACTTCCAATGATGACCCATCTCTAAAGACTCAGTCTACATCTTTCTATTCTGCAGCATCCTACCACACCGCTGCCATTCTAGATGCCCAAACCAAGCCCCTCATTTTATCCACAGCACCATTGCTTCAGGATCTAGTGTCAAAAGTAGGATTGTGTCCACCAGAAGCTTCCAAGTTATGTTCCGAGGACACTGAGCCCCACAACATCGTAAGTCATACAAGGGGTTTGTGATCTGGGAAGTTTTCCCTACTATATCATATTTTGTTGGATGTTTTCAATAGAAACATTTGAAAGGTCACAAGTTTTTTGCAGTGGAGAGTATGATTATTGATTATTTTGCTTAACCCTTTATTTTACTGATGTTAATCCCTCCAACTAGCATAGCAACATTTAACATACTGAAAAGCTGGTGTTTGCAAAAGACAGTTTCATAACGGTGATTCTAGATGAGTTTTCAGTCTTTTTATGTCCAACTGTTTCATAAGATTTGTCACTTCCTCATATACAGAGACTATCTTGAACAAGCACCATTGGGTCTCTTCAGTTTCCTGAGTTTTTGTAAGATGCTCATTTTTCTTAAGGAATTGCCAAGATTAAATGAAGTACTATATCCAAAGTGCTTCACATACTAATACCCAGAACAAAATATCCTTGTAATAGATGTCTACTGTTACTGTTATCTCTAAAATGTCTCTCAAATATCTGCTGTTTCCTAATGCCCTTGACACCTTCAAGGTTCAAGGACTTACCACTGCATTTCTTTTCTCCACAACAGTAACCAGCAATTTATACTCAGTAGCTTAGTTATTTTTAAATTTACTCAGTGTTTTCTTGCACATTATCCAATTAGCTTAATAAGTACTTCATTTACTCTGTTAGCGTACTCAGCTTCGCAATTCATTCACCACACTGCCATTTAATTATTTTTAAACACAAATCTAATGATGCCATTCCTAAGCTCACACACACTTAATGATCTTCCATTATCTATGTAATAGGGGGAAGTAACTAACTCCTCATCATGGCGGCCACGCCCGAGTCCACACTCCCCAAGAAGTAGTGTTTTGAATCCAGCTACCCTGCAATGCTTTTCCAAGATATAAAACACGATGACTTTTCAAAGCCCTGGATTTGGTTGATGTAATTTTTATTTTTTGTGTTATTGTTTTTGCATTTGCTTTGCCTTACTTGCTTCTTTGATTTGTTTAAAAAGAAACTGATCACTTTCCCAGGTCCACCTTATATTTTACATACTTCATGAAGCATGTTCTCAGTTTCATAGAGTTAACAGTTTTCTCTTGTTCTTAGTTTCAAAAATACACATTGTATATATTTAGTATTATGCTATGTTTTAAATAATACTCATAGTAGGACAATTGTCTGTACTGAATAGCTAGCTCCATGAAAGATGAGATCATACTGATCCTTT